ATTGTCACCTAACTTTTACAATGCATCGTTAATGTTGAATGCAAAATGTGTGGTCGCGCTATAGTTAAGTCTTTTGCGATAATAAGAGATATGACACAGCTAGCGCGCGAAATTCTTGTTGTATGTCTCCGCATTCGTTAAATGAGCAATTCAACGACCACCCACTTCACGTTCAGCATTGTACAGGTTGTAGATCGGAGCGATTGTGATGCGGATATAGACGAAATGACCAGCGTGTATGCATCATTTGTCTTAAGAGAACGGATATGAAACGCGATGTGTAGGTGTAACGACAGGGAGCGAAAAGAAAGTTTGGATATGTATCAATAAAGTATTTCTGTAAAAGAAATAATAGTCTAAGTAAAAGGAAAAGCTTTTTGATATAAAATTTGTAAATCTAAAGAATAGACCAGTATATAATGAACGTAATTATTGATATATAAATATTTATAGCATAAACAATCGTTTTAATAACAATCATTTTATCTCTAATTATATCGATCGAAACAATCACTCAACATAAATATTTATGTCAACAATTCTATTGTAGCTTTTATTGGTTCTTTTTCGTCTCTCTTCAAAATTTAAATAGTTAATAAGTTATATATTTAGAAACAATACTTTATTATAAATATATTTAATTAATTTTTAAAAAAATATTTACTTAGCTAGACTAATGTATTCTTTAATTTAAATGTATCAAAATCTATGTGATTTCTAATTTCAAAGAATTACGCATGTTTATAAGTAAATATGATAAAATATTGCTTAGAAATTATTTCTTTTACAAAAAAGGACACATAAAAAAATATTGATTTAATCTTATAATATACTGTCATAATATTTGTTTTTTTTTTTTAAATAATAAATGAAATAAATGTATCAATATTATTTTACATTTTAAATAGTTATTGATACTTTTTTCTTTTTTCTTATTTTTCTTTTTTCTCTTTGTCCTTGTCGTTCTTTCTTTATTGTGACGGTACTGTTAACACATATTTAATACAAACTATAATTATAATCAATTTTGTATTATATCTTGTTCTATTTTGAAACAATAGACTGACCAAAATGTCTACAATAATTTCCAACTAATCCACATCCTAGAGAAGTTAGTGAAGGTGTTTAACATCGAACCCTATGGTTTATCTATTCACGGATAGCAAGCAGACACAACAGTACATAGATCTTGCAATTAGCGGCTCTTGTATACTTCCTTCCTTCTACTCGCTTGGAAGCTTGCTATTAATCGTATCGTCTTGTATTGGATAGAATACATATACTTTAGAGTTAACTGGCAAAGAGCATATTACGTATTTTAGATTATATTTTTTATATTAAAAATATGTTTTTTTACAACATTATTATAAAAATTACACTCTGTGCACAGCAGTGTTAACAATTAAATATTTGTCATAATAAAAATATATAGGGTACACATATTATCTACACATATTATCATATTATCTTACAGTTACAAATATTTAAAGTCATTAAAAAATAAGAAAGCATATTTTTTAATTTCCAAATAGATTAAAAAAGCTTCTAATTTTAGAATTTTATAATAAATATTATAGAAATGTTATACAATTACTCATTGATTTTGATAGATATTAGACATTATAAAACATAAATGTTTAATATTGTTAGTTAATTCAAAAGATTGTCTTATATAAATCTGCATATAAATTAATATTTAAAATTATTAATATATA